TTTCTTTAATATACATTTCAATACAATATCCAACAAAATGGATTCATATGACACTTTATCCAAAAAAAAAAAAAGAGGCCGGACCACTGAACTCACTATACCACAAACCAACACAAACTATGAAAAAGATAAAACTACTATACATTAAAAACATCTTAGAAACAATAGACTGCCATTTGACATAATTGTAGCACACAAACCAACTAAAGCTCTCCAAAACATCTTAAGTAACTCAAGTAGCCCCAAAATAAAAACAGGAATCATCTACAAGAATTTAAGTATTGTAACAGCCACTATGTAGACACATAGGCAGAAGACTAGCAGAGTGCATCCATGAACACCAACTAGCTATCAGAATATGTAATGAAAACTCTTTAATTTCATAACATATGGACAAATGTAATCTGAGAAAGCTTCCTAGATTAAGCTAAATCCAAAAATGGTAGGGAATTCCTAGAAGCTTGGCACTCAGGCAAAACAGCCATCAACAGGCACCTAGAGATAAACAACTTACACACCATTCCAAGAAGACAATAAAAAAACTAAAAAGGGAACCAAAAGACCAGAACACCTCTTTGAAAGTAATGAACACTCAAATAAGCCTGAAGTAACACCAGTAAACAACAGCTTAATCAAAGAATTACTAAAGAGTAAACCATGCCCCCACCAACACTGACAAGGGAAGCAACAGTATATATAAACACATCAAATCCCACTCACTTCTAGCACTGAAGATGTTATCTAGTCTGGTAATAAAATATTTCCAGGCAAATAACCAAGCTCAGAGAACAACAAAAACTATACAGTTCAACCCTGAGCTACATACGTTCTCTTCTATTAGTATATCTTTATTACTTGTCATTCTTTCAATTTTTGCTAAAGGTTTATTCTTGAATATGATAATTCCTTCTTGTCACCGTATCCAAATCTTATTTATTATTTAAATTTATTATAGCTACCCAACACTTATGAATTCTGGGTGGTGGTACAAAACTAAACCAAGTAAACAATCACACTCCAAATCCATGAGAACAATTGAAACCTAAAACCACAAAGCCATCCCAGACTAAAATGATCTAAAAATAATACAAAGCAAAGCAAAACACTACTACTTCAAACAATATTAACTCCAGGCGTGGGTCCAAACTCAGGCTTTCCAGAATCACAGGAGACAAGACGCTACCCCTTTCATTCAATTACTATAGATTGTAAATCCCTTTGGAATCTAACCTAGTAAAAATGTGTGCTTTCTATAGTTGTTATAATAGTTCATACAGGAGGAGGACAATGTAATAATTGCTGTCAAGCCCTTACAGAAGGATACATAGAGTTTAATATGGAGTTTAAAAACATGACTTGAGGGATAGTTATAAAGACTTGGAAATGGAGTTCCCATTGATTAGATAAGCCATTAATGATCTCGCCATCAATTAATTGTTTAGTGTTCCTCCTGTTTCTCTCTAAACTGCTCACAATTCTTACAGAGTTCAGAAACCTGTAATAAGGAACAACCCTTCTTTTTAACAACAGTAACAACAAAATGAATGTTGGCTAAAAATGCAAACAAATGAAGCTTTTTTAACAGTTGTCTTTAGCTGGTTCTTTCAGTTTTAATATGGGTTAGCAATATTTTGCAGGAATCTGAGGCCCAAGAATAAGGTCACAAAATTGATGGGGAGGTACAATCTATGCTTCCAATTCTCACACACATGACCAAAGCCAAAATATTTAGGATAAAATATAGGGAAATTCCTTCTATACTGTGATGTGCTGAGCAAAGGCAAGGGGCATGAAGTCATGGAGGTAACGAACTTTGTATGCATGCGAGCTGAATAGAATGCTTTTCCAGTTTCAAATGGATTATGAGCTTGATGACAACCTATTCCTGCAACTATCAGAAATTGTAATAAGAAAATCAAATAAAGTTGAGTGACTCTTGATAATAGATGATGAGTAAGAGAAGGTCCCTGAGATTTCAGCTGAACCACAAAAATTGGAATCAATAATATCCATTCTCACTAGGCTGAATGTACAAGATATGCACATTAGATGTGACTGAAGATTTTATGAAGTTGCCCATGGCATCAGAATAAAATAAGTTCTGGCACTTTACAGTTGAACAGTCTAGGCCTTAAAGGTTACATAAATGATTAAATGTCAATGAGTAGTCTCACATAGCTGACCTTTACTTTATTTTCAGATGTTATCACATCAGATATATGGATTGATTTGTTTCTGAAAAAGCCAGATTTGGTTGTTTGTTTATTGTAAAATGTACAATATTTTATTGACATTTCAGAAGGAGGTGGTTTCTTGGAAGGGCACTCTTCTGAAATGTAACTAGGTTCTTCAAATGATATACATAGATCTTGTGTGTATTGACCTAGCTCTTCTCAGTCTCCTAGCTGTGGGAGTTCAATATTGAAAATCACTGATGAAAGAGAGGAGGTAGTAATAGAACCAAAGAAAATAATGTAGGGAACACAAAGAATATTTCTCTTGACAATATAGTGCTGTAATTCCTCAAGTATTTTATTGATCCCCAAGTAGAATTGTATTAATGCATACAAAATCTTTGCTGTAATGGATGCATTTGTCCTGTTCTTTTCCTGGCAGATCCTTTCAAACTGGGATTTAAGCCTCATTAATTCCAGTCCACATCTGAGTTAACAATTGAAAATCAACAGTATATTATCTCACTGAGCATTTATCTTGTCTTAGGTTATAGCTTTTGTGACTGGCAGTCACCTGTTTGAAAGATTCATCAAAAATAGCCCTGAACAGTGTCACAAAACTGACATGTTCACATCTGGGCTGTAAATTAGTTGCCTCACTCTCTATCAGAAAGCTAATTATAAATCCCACATTAAATCAGTCCAAGAGGCCTTAGAAAGATATACAACTCATTGAGAAAGGAAAATACTAAATTTTCCCTGATTTCATCATACATCAACCAAAAAAGCAACTGCTCAGCCATTGAGAACTGATGCAGCTCCCACTAAGGCTGCTGGATCCTGGATTGCATGTAAGTTGTCACTGGGAATGAATTCCATCCACCATACTTGTAGCACTGGTTTATCCCTCATTAACTAATCATTCTCATTTGTCACACAATTATGACACTAAAAAGGTGCTAACAATTTGTTCCACATACAGTTCAAGAGAGTTACAAGTATAAGCATGATTTATTTCTGGAGTAATTTGGTGCTTTTTCTCATTCTTCATGGATGAGATGAGTAGCTGATCCTACAGGCAGAGCTTCATTCAAGCCACGACTAACAGTGGAAGATTAAGAATAAAGCTGAGATGGATATGTTGTTTTTACTATAGATACAAAAAGACCTAATAATAAACATCATGAACCACAGAATCCAAACCACATACCACAGAATCCAGCCTCTATTTTTTGCTTCTTTCTGCCATCCTCATGTGGTGAAAGACTTCTTGCTATTTGTTTCTCAGCCTTAGATAACAATGGTACCTGCACTGTCTTTTGATAAAAACCCTGCCTTGTTTGCAAGCTACCCACTTTAAAAGCTCATAGATAAATCATAGATAGATCTAAAAGCTTAGATAAAAGCTAATAATAAATCACAGATAGATCTAAAAGCTTACATAAATTCACACATAGTTCTTACACCAAATATTATGTAAGAACGTGTTATGTTACTAGCCATCTCACATGAAGTGATTCTATATACCCACAATGCTATCCCTCAAATAGCACACTGCTGCAGCAATCTATAGAAAAATGTATAAGTAAGCGCTGCTGCTTGCTGCAAAACTAGCTTACATAATTTCAAGTACACATGGCACCACACAGTTTAAGAATGCTAATGAGGAATAAACCATAATTTAAATAATTACAGATGTTGGAAATGTATAATCATACTCTATATTACAAAATAGCTGTACATTAAATATGAATAACTATGACTAAAGAGCTCTTTTTTTTTTAGCCTGGGGCATTTAAAACTGCCTGTCAAAAGAAGCAATTACAAAATAAACTAATTCCACATGTAAAATCAGAAAATTTTTGAAGATTTAAGATTTAATGTTCAACACATAATCTTCATAAAACATGTTGTGTAGAGTGGATTATCTCAGCTATAACAAATATGCAGTCCAGGTCATTTATGATTTATATTATTATGGTACTTGTGATTCTTGAATGCTATCTGAAAAAGCCAATATTATAACAGATGGATGAAGTTACCAATGGATGTCAAAATGACTTAAGTTTATATTTTGCAAGGATCAGCTGATCAAAGCATTTATATTGCTATTGTAAAAATGCTACTGTCCCTTCAGGGAGAATAGTGATACCTTTCACCACAATCCTAGACCGAGTACTTCAGTCATCTTAGCTAGATTAAATTTATATTTATTAGGGCTGGACAACTTTTGTTTCCACTCAAAAGAGGTGCTGCTGAGAGCTTAGGAGTGTGAATAAAACACCTGCCTATGACTCATTAAAGCAACATTTTCAGCTGCACCTGAACAATCCTGAAAGCCAAAACAGGTACTTTAATTTCTCACAGATACAGCATTCACTCTAGCATATTTTTTTTCAAAGAATCTCTTCCTAAATGAATCCAAAGCATCACACAGCCCTAATATTTATTCTCTCTCCATTAAATTTAGCCTACAACTTTTCAAAGAATCTAATGGACATTCAGCTGTTTGAGGTGGTTTTTCATTTTCACGGTCTTCACCTTGTATAGCTAGATAGACTATGTCTTCTAAATAGTGATGGTAGAGAATTGTTCTTAATGACAAAGCCAACATGACTTTAGAAGCATTACCTCTGTCAAAAATTGGTGACAAATAAGAAAGCAATTAATACAATATCTTTATGTCTTAATGTTTTAGTTTAATGATTACAGTATAAAACCTATTTTCTCTGTGCTAAATCACACAAGATCAATACACACGCCTAACTATTTTTGCTCCTTGCTTATATTTCAGCTAACAAAAATCTTGTCTATTAATCTTCTTACCTGAGGTAGAGCAGAGTTTAACTGTCTCTGCAATTGGTCTCGTTCATGGAAAGTCTCTTGCAGCCGGCCCTGAGTCACAGATAGTGTCTCACGTGTTTCCCGAAGAGTCTCTAGTAGTTTATCCCTCTCATCAAGCATGTTCACCATCAGCTGTTCAAAGTTGGCATCAGAATCAGAGCCTGGCTGTGGCCCTAAGGGGTCACCCTCACTAATGGTAGGCATTACCTCACACATCATGGCAATACTTTGCAAATTGCCTGTGCTAGAGGAAGAACTTGAATTGCCAAGGAAATCTCCCTAGAATGCCTCTTAAGGCAGTAGAAACAGCAAGTTAAGGTCACATGGTTACTGTAGGCCACTGCAGATTGTGGCAACTGTCAAATGCAGATGACAAAGTCCATAAAATCTCCATTTCCTTTTGCAAATAACTGAAACTAACATTACATATCTAGAAAAATCAGAAAAAGTCATCACATCTTTATGCTCAATGTATATATAAAGTAAATAAGATCAGCAAGGCCCCTAGATTGAACTGACAATGTAATATTGTGAGAGTCATTCCCATAATCTTTGATAGATATTCCTTTGATCTCTCCAATGACGACCATCAATCAGGGCATAGAGTTCTTTGTTGTTAAAAATGTTCATTGTTTCCATTCAGCACCAAAATCCTTGCTGGTTTAAGATCTAGAAAGAATTAGAAAGCCTACAAAACATTTTACTTGTCTTGATATGATCAATAAAAATCAACTTAGATAGATCAAGCAATAGTTTATGAAATCCAAAAGGAAAGTAGACTGATCATTCCTGAAGCAAGCTTAAAGATTCATCTTGCATTCTTCATTTAGAATCTGTTGGAAAAGAAAATATTTAGAGGTTAGAATGGTCAATGTTGTTTCATTTCTAAATTCAGATCAAAAGCTTTTCATCTCCAGAGAAAATTCAGAAGGGGAACAATTTATGGAGAATTCTACATCACAGATTAATACAGTTTACCATTTGTTCCCTATAGCCATTCTTAATTTAACAAACAGGTTTTTAAATGTAGGTGCCATGGAGCATTTGTTCTAATTTCAGAGCTTTAATATTTATTGAGCATTGTATCTTTTTTAGACCACTTTACTATAATGTATCTTGAAATTAAGTATATTTTGCCTAGATCCTTTTAACCTAAATTCTATTGCAGAATATTTGCTTATTTTTAACAGAACGTTAGACAACCCATGACTCCTTGGATCATGGTTTCAGAGGTCTCCCCTTACCAGATTCCTCAATGCCTTCAACAATGACAGAGTTTCCACTGTCCTGTCTTTCCCAAACTATCAGCAATACATTCTGAGATGTACCTGTTTGAAAATAGCCCAGTCAAACATCAGCACAAGAAATATTTTATGACATTTTATATTATCATAAACTGTTTTATGATTGTTTTATGTCATAAAATGATTTTTAAAATGTGCCAAATTTCAAGAGCCATTTGAAGTACCTTGGTTCAAAAGATTTTGCCCTATGGTGTGTGGGAAGCCCCCCACCCCAGGAGAAAGAAATATTTTGTGGAATATTAAGAGACAAAATATTATATTTGCCCAAAGGAGAAAAATCTTAACAAAGGCAGAAAGCAACCCCCAACAGCCTCCAGCAGATCCCTGAAGTCTTTAGAGATGGAGATTTCTGCCCATTAAGAAATCCAAGCCAATCTATTCATAAACAATACACCTTCAGCTCCAGGTAATGGGGTTAAGAAGGACAGGACATGACCTTTAGGACATATTAGGATTAACCCACCACCACTGAAATAGCAAGAGACACAAAAGCCCCTTCATTGCACAATCCCAAGAACAGTTCAACCTTTAAAGTCACAGAAACCTATAAAGATCCATCCACTCATTCGACCTATTTGTCAGCTGTCCCAGAACTGCACGCTGTTGGTGGTTCTGCTTATCAATAAATAGTCCTTCTTTCCAATCAGCCTCCATTTTATTTCCAGCGGCTTTCTTCCAGCTTGGACCCGGACTGGATTTTTTTTCCCTACAGGTGTACAGTTTCACCCAATTAAAGGTTGCAGTAATTAGAGTTGTAATACTGTATAAATTTTTCATATTCTTGTATTGCCTCTTTCTTTAGGGTAAGAATATGGTTGTTTCTGCTGCTACCATCCAACTTCACTGAAGTATATCACTTCCAATGTGTGAAAAAGAGGAATCCCAACTGGTACTATTTTTCTTGCGGGAATAAGTGAAAAAAGAGAGTAAAAATGGGAGTAGAATACTTAAAAGAGTCTTGACACCAACTACTATTTGAAATCCCTAATAGTCCTAAAACTGCCATTTTACAAGCTGATTGCAACTCAAAGTTTTGCTTTGTTCAGATTTTTAAGAGTTTAAATGGAAGTGAGAAATATCTGCAAGGCAAATCCTCCCACCTATCTTTTCTCCAAACCTAAAATTGGTATAAAATGGCTGCTGAGGAAAAGTTCTTTTAAGAGTGCACTTTGTCCTTCCCAGAGGTGTCTTGTTCCCATCACCGCCTTCAAAACATTGAAAATACGCCCACACACAAACACAAGGAGAAAAAAATCAGCCTCATTCCTTTCAGTGGCATAATAAACACATTGGCAACTTCTGCAAATTTATAAATTCAGAATAGCAACTTCTGCCCCTGAACATTACCCAGGCCTATATATAAAAACAAATAAATATATGGCAGGTTGGTGATTGATTTGCGGGTGAAATTCATCTTGAAATCTTGAACCTGGACTGGAGTGTCATCAAACAGAGAGCTAGTTTAAAATATGACATTCCAAACCTGACAATGTTTTTCAAAAAACGTATTATGTATTTACTAAAAAATGACATATAAATTTGAATAGCGAACAAGCATTCTCAAGATAATTTACACATGGTAGCAGTATTCTTTTGTATTCCAGTCAAAATTCAGATGGCAATAATAATAATATATTTTGAATTGAACCAAATAATGCACTGAAGCCAGAATTCACAAAACTGTTATCCATAGGCTAATGTTCTCCATCTGTATGGAATTATATCTGTATGTATATGCATGGACTAAGTAGATTTTAGCCTTTCCATATTATGACAACCTTCAACTGAAGAAGTCCACTAAGATATATTATCTATTTAAAAAAATGCCAGGAAAAGCTATCCATAAGTCTCATGAAAAATACACTCGAGGGGAAAATTTATCATACTGTAAGATTAATGGAAGCTGAAGTAGTTCTACCTTTAATACAGCTCAATGTATTGCCAAGTATTTCTAAGAAAAGACTCTTGAGTACCACTCTTCCAAAACAAAAAATACCAGATGCCACCAGCAAAACATAATATACACTCAAACTATTCTACAATTAGTTCTTCTTCTTCTTCTTTTTCTTCAGCGTTTGTCTCGCGCTCGGGCGAGGTCCGCTAATGTCCTTGAGTACTGCTTCCACACCTCTCTGTCTGCCACGTGTGTCGGGTCTGCCTTCGCGATCTCTAGATCGGCCTTGATCGTGTCCATCCAGCATTGTTTAGGTCTACCACGCGGTCTCGCTCCTCCGACAGTCACCTTCATTACGGATTTGATGATGGATTCTTCCTTGGCGCGGCTCACGTGGCCGAACCATCGTAGCCGGGACTGCCTCATGACCGTGGGGATGGGCACGACGTTGAACCGTCTACGCACTTCTTCGTTCCTGACGCGATCGAGTAGGGTGAGGCCTACCGACCATCGGAGCATTCGCATCTCCATTATCTGGAGTCTGCTTTCGACTTCTTTGGTCGTCGGCCAGCACTCTGCGCCGTATATGGCCACGGGGCGCACCACAGAGTTATAGATTTTCGCCTTCAGGCGCATCGGCATCTTCTTGTCACAGAGGACGCCCGTGACGGACTTCCATTTGCCCCACGCTGCATTGATCCTGGCTGCCACCTCAGTTTGTAGTAGGCCTTCTTCCCCAAGAGTAGTTCCCAGGTACTTGAAGGTGGAGGCGCGCGGTAGCTCCTGCCCGTTCACGTGGATGGAGCCTGTCATTTCATTGTCAGTGGTCAGGTATTCGGACTTCTTTAGGTTCAGCCGGAGCCCGAACTGCTCGAGGCGGTCGTGCCACTGTTGGACTCGGTGCTCTAGTTCAGCCTATTCTACAATTAGTTAACATGTAAATATAGTTTTAAAAGCTCAGCTGTACTGAAGGGGCTGCTACTGAATGCTAGAACTAGAAGAATGTCCTGTTCAAATTAAGTTTTTCTGGTCAAGCTCAGATATACATTTTAATATCGAAGCATTATTACCACACATTGCCATAAATTCCTTCCCAAAATGAAAATCAGCTTGCTATAATGATAAATGATGATCTTCACAGAGGATGAAAAATACTGGCCACAGAAAGAATCAATAATATCAAGCAAAGAAATTAACACAGAGAAACAAAAACAGTATGATCAGCAGCCCAGGAATCATATTTCTTAAAAATAAGACAAATATGAAGAACCAACTGAAAATGTGTATGAATGCACTGAATGCACTGAATTTAATAACTTTCAACATGCTCTTACAACATATAATTCAGCACTTAAGCACATGATTCAAATTTATTCCACTTTTTCCAATTTTTGCGTTAGTTTATTACAGTTGGAAAATAATCAGAATAAACTATTTCTAATCTTGTGTTCAACAGATGGAAACATAAATATCAATAGGAGTTTTCAGTTAATAAGGAGAATATGGGATCAAAACACATGCATTATTAGATTCAAGATGAGTAATGCTATTTTCCTCTGAGTTCATTTTATCTTATTTGTTTGCCATATCCAAAGAGTGGAAATCTAACCATAAGAGGCCAAGAATGCAAATCTCAAGATTTGTCCTGAAATCCTATTCTGAAATATCACCTACAGCTAGCTTGCATTTTTAGGTGCTTATGGATGTCATTTTCCATGGCAGGCTAAAATCTATCTGAATCTTACTTGTACAGGTAGCCCTCAACATACAATGGAAATGGAGCCTGCCCATTACGGACATATGTCACAACAGACATAAAATGGGTGAGTTGTATCACTCATCCAATTTTATGACCTTTTTGTAGTGATTGTTAAGCAAATACATTAGCCGTTAAGTGAACCAATCGTTTGCTACGGGCAGAGTTTTGGCAAAAACCAGAATATTCCATTTTTGGCAAAACCATCATAAAATTCTATCACGATGCTGCAAATGGCCATACATGTGTCTGTGTTGCCAACATGAAAAGTTTGGTCATGTAACTGCAAAGAGGGCCTGACAATGTCCCCTCTCAATTTCAATACCTACAATGGTCGCTGGTTGGCTTGCTGCTGCAATTCAAAATGCTGATT